ACACACTGAGGACTACTCTTGCGGCTCTTGGGTTCACGCCGTCTACTGCTGACCCGTCGCTGTTTCTGCGCACTGACACGTCGCTGCCGCCGTTCTACATCCTCGTGTACGTCGACGACTTGGTCTTTGCTACTGCTGACACTGAGGCACTCGCTCGTGTGAAGTCGGAGCTGCAGAAGAGACACACCTGCACTGACCTGGGTGAACTGCGTAGCTACCTTGGCTTGCAGATCACCCGGGACAGAGCCCGTCGCACCATCACCCTGACTCAGTCACACATGGTGCAGCAGGTCCTTCAGCGCTTCGGCTTCCAGTTCTCCTCACCACAGGCCACACCTCTGGCTACCAGCCACTCACTCTCAGCTCCACCTTCGGACGAGTCCGTAGAGCCGAGTGGCCCGTACCCAGAGCTTGTAGGCTGCCTCATGTACCTGATGACTTGCACGCGACCTGACCTCGCGTACCCTCTTAGCATCCTTGCTCGTTACGTTGCGCCTGGGAGACACAGGCGAGAGCACTGGGAGGCTGCTAAGAGGGTGCTGCGGTACCTGTGCAGTACATCAGGCATGGGGCTGGTGCTTGGAGGACGCGACAGAGTTGTCCTCACTGGTCACTCGGACGCCTCTTGGGTGGACGACCTGGCTACGCAGCGGTCGTCACAGGGTTACACCTTCAGCCTTGGCTCTGGTTCTGTCTCGTGGCGGTCCACCCGCTCTTCCTCTGTTCTCGGCTCTAGTTGTGAGGCTGAGATCTACGCCACAGCCATGGTTGCACAGGAGTTACGCTGGCTCACCTACCTGCTGACTGACTTGGGAGAGCGGCCTAGTTCTCCTCCAGTTCTGTACGGTGACAACAAGGCGGCTCTTGCCTTGTGTCAGGAGCACAGACTGGAGCACAGGACGAAGCACATTGCTCTTCGCTACTTTCTTGCTCGAGAGCTTCAGCAGCGCGGTCAGCTTCGGCTTGTGTACGTGGACTCGAAGGCCAACACTGCTGATATCTTCACCAAGGCGCTCCCGCCTAGTGATCATCAGCGGCACTGTACTTCTTTAGGCCTTGTGTCCACGTTTCCTCACTTGCTCACTGCTTGACATTCTTTGTACTGTACTTTATATATATCTTGTTGCTTGCTTGCTAGGTTTTGATCACTGTGTTGCTTGTCTTGTACTATATCTAGCACTGCATGTGAACTGGCCTTGTGGCCTTTACTTGTGCTCGGAGTGTGGTGACGTTGTGATCCACCCTGGGCTTTGCTTTGCTTTGCTGGACTGGTCTTGTGACCCTTTGTTCTCCCCCACTTTGCCTATGGGGGTGTGTTAAACTGTATTATGCTTGTAGGCTGTAGTGGGGTAGCCAATATGGGGTACAACCCCAACTAGGGTTTCATATTTGTACCCAAACTTCTGCTAGTTCAATCATTCTTGCCTAGTGATTCTGACAGGAAGTACCGCAGAGCGATGTGCTTCGTTCTGTGCTCCAGTCTGTGCTCCTCACACAAGGCAATGGCAGCCTTGTTGTCGACGTACAGCACTGGAGGAGAACGAGGCCGCTCTCCGAGGTCGGTCAGCAGGTAGGTCAGCCAGCGTAGCTCCTGAGCAGCCATGGCTGTGGCGTAGATCTCAGCCTCACAACTGGAGCTGAGAACAGAAGAAGAGCGAGTAGAACGCCAAGAAACTGAGCCAGAGCCAAGGCTGAAGGTGTAACCCTGGGACGACCGCTGAGTAGCCTGGTCGTCTGCCCAAGAAGAGTCTGAGTGCCCTGTGAGAACAACCCGGTCTCGCCCTCCAAGCACAAGCCCCATGCCCGACGTACTGCACAAGTAGCGCAACACCCTCTTAGCAGCATCCATGTGCTCCTTCCGGTGACGGCCAGGAGCGACATAGCGTGCTAGGATGCTAAGAGGGTATGCAAGGTCAGGTCGAGTGCAGGTCATCAGGTACATGAGGCAGCCCACAAGCTCTGGATACGGGCCACTCGGCTCTACGGACTCATCCGAAGGCAGAGCTGAGAGCGAGTGACCGGTAGGCAGAGGAGTGGACTGAGGCGAGGAGTACGTGAAGCGGAAGCGCTGGAGAACCTGCTGCACCATGTGTGACTGAGTCAGGGTGATGGTGCGCCGTGCTCTGTCCCGGGTGATCCGCAAGCCAAGATAGCTCGTCAGCTCACCCAGGTCTGTGCACGTGTGTCTCCTCTGCAGCTCCGACTTCACGTGAGCGAGTGCCGCTGTGTCAGCAGTGGCAAAGACCAAGTCGTCGACGTACACGAGGATGTAGAACGGCGGCAGCGAGGTGTCGGTGCGTAGAAACAGCGACGGGTCAGCAGTAGAGGGAGCGAACCCAAGAGCCGCAAGTGTCGTCCTCAGTGTGTCGTGCCACTCACGTGGCGCCTGGCGGAGACCGTAGACCGGCTGCTGAAGCCTCCACTGGGTGCCAGGAGGAACTGACCCAGTGAAGCCAGGGGGGCGGCGCAGCCAGATCTCCTCGTGCAGGCTGCCCTGCAAGAAAGCAGTGCTGAAGTCAAGAGAGTGAAGCTCGTAGTCGCGGTGAGCGGCTATGTGCAGCAGCACCCGAAGAGTAGTCATCTTCGGGGTGGGGGAGAAGGTCTTGTCAGAGGTCCACTGGTGATCCCCGATTGATCCTAGGGAAGGGTTACAGGCACGTTGGCCTGGGGGGTTATGGGCGCACTCACCCGCTACACAAACAAGCCCTTTTATCCCAGTGGTTAGCGGCTTGGATTCTGACAGGTCTGAAAGAAGTCTACTCCCTCTCGCTGACTGAAGCCTCGAGCCACGTAGCGCGCCTTGAAGACAGGCGGAGAACCCGGCGGCCGCTTCACCCTGAAAATCCACATGCCACTGACAATGTTCGCCCCAGGAGGGGGAACCTCGTCTACGTAGGTGCCTGTGGACTTCCAGGAGGCCATCTCTGCGTCCATGGCTGTCTGCCACTGAGAGGAGTAGGGACCCGCCATCGCCTCAGCGTAAGAGCGTGGGGTCGGGATGTCTGGTGCATCCGGGTCTCCCTCAGGGGCAACTAGCAAGGACACGAGACGGGGCAAAGCAGCAGCAAGGCAGTGGAACTCCTCCTGTCTGTCCTCAAGGACGTCCGTGCCGAGGGCACACTCACCCCCGACGGACGGAGGACAGGCAGACGCAGACTCAGACCTAGCGACAAGGCTGGCAGCGTAGTCTAGGCGACAGCGAGCAGCAAAGTCAACCAACTCAGCGACCAGAGCAGACGCAGCAGAGGACTCAAAGGTCGGGTCAGTGACAACTGTAGCGAGGAGACGCGTAACAGTGGGACTGGCAGCACGACGGGAGTCAGACTCCGGGTCAAGAAGAGTAGGAAGAGAGGACGCAAGAGGAGACGGCAGCGGGACACGCTGCGGAGCAGTGGAGGGACGCAGAGTCATGTAGTGAGTGCCAGGGACAGGAGGAGGACGCTCACGTGGGACACGACGACCAGTGCGAGCAGTACGAACAGGCGACGCAGGACGAGACTCAGGCTCACGACGCTCTGTAAGACCTCCTGTGGGACCAGCGTAAGGAGAGGGAGCAGGGAGAGGCGAGGCAGGCGGTAACTGTGACTGCGGCTGGACAGGCAGAGGACACTCGACGGAGGGAGGAGGACTAGGAGGAGGAGCCTGACCAAGAACCTGCTGAAGGAGCGGTACGAAGTACGGTCGCGGCCGCGCAGCGTCTCCAGAAGCAGCAGGGACACCAGTGGCAGCCCCAACGCCCGAGTCCTCAGCACCAGCAGCAGCTCCAACGCCCGGGTCCTCAGCACCAGTAGGAGCTCCAACGCCCGAGTCCTCAGCACCAGCAGCAGCGCCACCGGTCGGGTCCTCAGCACCAGCAGCAGCTCCAACGCCCGGGTCCTCAGCACCAGCAGCAGGGCCACCGGTCAGGTCCTCAGCACCAGCAGCAGCTCCAACGCCCGGGTCCTCAGCACCAGCAGCAGGGCCACTGGTCAGGTCCTCAGCACCAGCAGCAGCGCCACCGGTCGGGTCCTCAGCACCAGCAGCAGCTCCAACGCTCGGGTCCGCAGCACCAGGAGCACCACTACGAAGACTGCAGCGCCGCGTGTACCACTCGCGGATCACCTGAATGGGGGGGAGCTCCTGGGTAGGAGGGAAAGTACCGGGACGAGCTCCAGAAGCACCTCTCCGGAGGCGGCAGTACTCGAGGTACCTCTACTGCAGCTGCAGTCCGCGGTGATACGCGGGCAGCGGCGGGCGCAGCAGCGGCGGTGCGCGGGCGGCGGCGGGCTCAGCAGCGGCGGTGCGCGGGCGGCTGCGGGCTCAGCAGCGGCGGGCCGGTAGCAGGCAGTGCGCGGGCCGCGCGGGCCGTATGTGAGCTGTGCGGGCAGCGTGCGGGCCGGCGGCGGTCAGCGCACGAGCCGCGCAGGCTCAGCGCGGGCTGCGCGGGCTGCTCGCGGGCTGCGTAAGCGGGTCGCGGGCGGCTCGCGGGGGTTCGCGGGCAGGTCGCGGGCTGCTCGCGGGCAGTTCGCGGGCTGTGTGCGGGCTGCGCGGGCTGGTCGCGGGCTGCGCAGGCGGTTCGCGGGCTGTGCGTGGGCGGTTCGCGGGCTGTGAGCGCGGCGCGCTGTGCGGTTCGCGGGCGGCGTGACGGGGCCGATCGGGGCGCTAAGGGGCGACGCGACGGGGGCCGTGAGAGGCTGCTAGGAAAAAAAAAAGTTCGACGGGGCCGCAGGGCCGCTAGATCGTGCTAGATCGACGGGGCCAGCGGGGCCGGAAACAAGTGAAGGTAAGCAGGTAGGTAAGTCGGTGGGCCCTAAGAACAGTCCTAGCGAAGGACCTGCTCTGAAACCATGTCAGAAATAACTGAGCAGGAATGAAACGAACTAGCACAGAGTTTGGTACAAGTAGGAAACCCTAACTTTGTGTATCCCCTAAGGTGTAACCCACTACAGCCTACACAATATAAACATACAATGTTTGACACTAATACACTGTGAACAGGTGTGTAGTCAAGACTGCTTAACATGCATACAGTATGGGAAGGGTATTACTGTAGTTTGCAAATTTTATTTTCATGTTTTAACAAAAAATATAAACATGAAAATAAAATTTGGCAAAATCGATCGTAAAGGGTTGCTTCGCAACCCAAAAAAAAAAAAAAAAAAAAAAAAAACGACAACAACGACAACAACAACAACAACAACAACAACAACAACAACAACAACAACAACAACAACAACAACAACAACAACAACAACAACAACAACAACAACAACAACAACAACAACAACAACAACAACAACAACAACAACAACAACAACAACAGCAGCAACGACAACAGCAACGGAAAACCGGTCACTCTATTTCACAGCCACGACACATGTACCGATGCGCAATGCAGTGGCAGCCGACAAGGTGGGGGACGTGGACGCACAGTCATGTGACAAGGCAGGATGTGCCCCCGATCATCACTGCCGCGCCGTCCTTGGACATTCCTGAAATCTTATGCAAGTCGACGCCCACCGTCTCAAGATGCTGGAGCAGTGCGCCCAAGAGCGCTGCCGCATCACACTGCTAGACGGTTAGTAAAGCGAGAAACTCGGTTACAACCACGCTGTTCTTGAGCAACGTAACAAACACAATCATGTGTTTGCCACGGGCGCGATCGGTACTCTCGTCGCACATGAGGCCGATGAAGGGCGAGGCGTGGAGGTGGCGCAATTGTTCTCTGGTCAGATACACGGTGAGAGCCCTGGCCATCTCGGAGAAACCGTTCATGCGCAGACACATTGCACAACGTATTAGCATCGTTAAACATAAATGGTTGCTTCAAAAACAATAGAGACAACAACAATTCACTGTGTGATATACACTCCATAGCTTTGACGCGGTACGTTGGCGACCCCCTCCTCTGCGAGAAGCTGAACGACCTGTGGGTACATGTGGATGGGTGTGTTGGTACGGCATACAAATTGCATGGCTCGCATGAGCACCGCGACGTGACAACCTTCTGGATCACCCTTCGTGAAGTCTTCAATCTTCTTCTGGTCGGCGATCTTCTGCAGAAGGTTAGCCTGCTTGTTCATCGCGTCCTCGTGCTTCGCGCTGTTCTCGTGCCACCGCATCGACCCGATCTGCAGATCACGACTGCCAGCGCCATTGCGACCGTAACTCGCCTTGTCCTTCCCGTGCTCCATGCAGACACTGCAGCGCAGACACGGGACACCCTCTGGCGTCCTGTCCAGAATCAGCCAGTCAAACTTCGGCAGCCAATCAGACGTGTAGAGTTGGCGGATGACAAGGCATTAATGGCGGAAGTGACAACGCGACGTGGAGAGTTGCCAGATGACAAAGGCCAGAGCAACAATTAGGTAGTGAGCAACCCATTGGATGCACTCACACGTGACTTCAAAGAAGAAGATAGGCAGAGAGCGGCATCACTGCCAACCGCAGTTACGATGATCAAGATTAAACTTGTCAACTCACCCCCGTTCAACCCTACGAACAAGACGATTACAGTGAAGGGGTGGCTTTTTAGTGTTGAAGTCTTCTTCACTACAGCAGGAGTGAACGACGATGCTACGTGTACGCGGTTTCACTTTTTCGAGGGGCAGCGCTTAAATCGTGGCGCCGAACCTTGGAAACGGGGGTCCCGACAGGTGTGACACATGCGGCAGATGGGACCTCAACATCGGCTAATCAAGTGGTAGAACCGATCTTCGGTGTGACCAAGATACGCACGTGGAAGTAGTGGCGCAGCCTTACGAGATCGCTTCGAGCACGTATCCACCTCGGAGCAAGCTCGCATAATGTTGCGTGCCTGGTCAAAGTTGGACATCTATCCAAGACTACACAACGTCATTCATGGGCCTCGCTGACCAAGTGGATGACACGTTGGAAGCGGAGCGGTTGGATAAATACATCAGCGGCCTCAAGTATGAAATTTAATATGAAGTGCGCCCGCCTGACATCATTCTTAGTAGCAGTACGGCAAGCGGAGTCCACCGATGCGCCGATGCAGTATGCGAGAACAGCTTCCCGGTATGGAAACCGTTTTCGTGGCCAGACCCATCGGGCCACGATCAACGCCGTCCATACACCCGACCGCCCTCCTAAGGGACCATGTTACCGGTGTGGGAAGATGGGTCACTACATGCGTGACTGCCACGAGAAGACGCCGCTGAAAGGGGACGACATGAAGGAGCAAGGAAATGGGAAGAGTCAGTAAATAACGTGCCCTTGATTGACTGCTCTCCGTTGCTCGAACCCCACCATCCCCACCGAGTCGTGGTTCCGATTCATGCAATCGATCGCATTCAGCCAAATAACGGGGAGAATCACATGGATCACCCTGTGCTGGTCGCTGGCAAGGTGTTAAAACATCTGCTCCGACTGCTTGGTCACTAGCGTCTGCTTCCACCACGTAGTCTCTGTCTGGATCCGGTAGGATGAGTACTGGTGCTGTAGTCAGTGCTGTCTGTAGCTGCTCCATGGCTTGCTGTTGAGGAGTATCCCATTTGTAAGGCGTATCCTTTTTCACTAGATTGGTCAGTGGCGCTGCTATCTTAGCGTACTGCGGCACGAACCTGTTGTAGTAGTTGGCGAAGCCTAGGAACTGCTGCAACTCCTTCACGTTCTTAGGAACTTTCCACTTCTTGACGACTTCGATCTTCCGCGGGCACTCACCATGTGCCCGAGAAACTGCACCTTCTTCAGGGCGAAGTCGCTCTTCGACAGCTTCACGTAGAACTTGTTCTTCCGCAGGATCTCGAAGACTTTCTGCAGATGCTCCACGTGCTCCTTCATGTTTTAGATCAGTCTGTCGTCCAGGTATACTACTACGCACTCGTCCAGCAGGGGCCGTAGGATATGGTTCATCTCCGTCTGGAACGCCGCTGGTGCGTTGCAAAGTCCTAACAGCATCACTAAGTATTTGTAGGAGCCGTATCTGGTACGGAACGCCGTCTTGTGGATCGAGTTGTCCGCCATCTTGATCTGCCAGTAACCCGACCGTAGGTCCAGCTTCGAAAACACCGTTGCACCACGCAGTTGGTCTAGAAGATCGTCTATGCACGGTATGGGGTATTTGTTCTTGACTGTCTGTTTGTTCAGTGCACGGTAGTCGATGCACATCCGTAAACTACCGTCTGGCTTTGGAGTGAAGTGAATCGGTGCGCCGTAGGGAGAGGTGGATGGGCGGATCAGTTGTCTGTCCAGTAGATACTCTATCTGTTTCTTCATGTCTGTCAGTTCGGTCGGACTCAGCCAGTATGGTGCATGTGAGACGGGTTTCGCACCTGGTTCCTCCACGATCTCGTGCTCGTGGGTGCGCGCTGGAGGTACTCCTACAAGTAGGTCGTCTGGCATGATATCCTTGTACTGCTCCAACACCTCCTTTACTGCTGCAGGTAGCTCCGAGTTTGGCTTTTCCTCCTCTGATGCTGCCATAAGTAGTGCTAAGTAGCCCATGTTACTCCATTCACCGTCCGTTCGAACCGCGCCAGTATCGTTTCAGGAGCATTTCCTGTATCCGTCCAGCTTCGCAGCTCCACACGTTTCCCGTTGTTGTAGATACACGCCTTCCGGTTGACCTAGTCGATCTCGGGGTTGAACCGCTTAAAAAAATCACGCCCCAAGATGAAGTCTAATCCCTTGATGTTCGTGATCGGCAACGTCGGCTTCCATCTCAACGCCCCTATCTTCAGCTGCAGTGTTCTAAAGCCGTGGATGGGAAGCTTCGTACCGTCCACCATCGTTGCTGTAAACTGGGTCTCCTCCGATGACTCTCCAATTTTCTCCAACGTCCCGCGGTCGCACACCGAGTGGGACGCACCACTGTCCACCAATGCCTGGAGGCATCGCCCATTGCAGATCACTTTGAGGACTAGTGGCTGCTGCCGCTCCGAGTAGCTGTAGATGGTGTTGCTTACAGGATCATAAGGTAGATCAAATGTATCATCCCTTGGTCCTGCGCTCGAAGCTGCTGACTCAGTTTCCAACTTAGCAGGGTTAGAAGGATTTATCCAAGGCCGATTCAGCTTCTCTATGGCCTGGAACCTTCCCCTAAGCCTTTGCAGCGGTGTGGGCTTTGCCTGTGGGGAACAGGGAGCCTTTAAACAGTGCTGCTGGGAGAGAATATGAACTCCTCGGAACGCTCGACCCTTATCAGCGCTCCGGAGTAGGGTCCCCATATTACCCGGTACCGGTTTAATTTCTGACTCTCCCTTAATAAAGGCTTGAAAACCACGAGAAATATTTTTTTTTAGTTAAAGTAGTTTTTGTAGGATAACTTTAACGAATTCTTACTTGTCGGGGTGTACGGCTGGAGTTTCCCGGTCGGTGCAGGGTCTTGTTTCGCGGAGTCTCCTTTTGTCTCGGCGATTTTTCCTGGTGCCGGCTGGTCGTGACGTTTTAAATTCGCGCCACCATATTCTCCTTTTTTCGCCCTCTCCAAAGTTGCCACGTTATCTGTTTTTCTGCTTCGGGGGTGCCACACTGTTCTTGTCCCTCAGCTCCGCACGTACTTTCTTCATTTTCCAACACGCCAAGATACGATGTCCTGTAGCGCCGCAAAATTCGCACGTCTCATTTTTTGCTAGCTGCTGCATCACATTGCCCTTGTCATTCTCCATGGGGACGGCAGTCGTGGGTGGTGCCAATCGCTCCATGCCACTATTTGGCTTGTTGCGTCGTGTTCCGTAGTAACCACTGTTCAACGCGTCGAACTGTTCGATCAGTTCTGCCCGAAACTTCGCCTTGGACAAATCTATTGCTAATCCACTCTAGAGCCGGGCCTCGTAACAGTGTTGCTGCGAGCCGTATGCGCAATGCGTCTTGGTTGAGGGTCGTGCATCCAACGGCTTCGAAGAAATTTTCTAGTACAGCTACAAATCGACGGACGTCGCTCCCTTTCGCTCTAGGATCGAACGCGTCTGGTCGCCTCAGCAATACTGCTTCGAAATTAATTGTAGCTGCTGCCGTTGTCGCAGGTACAATTATCGGTGTCGCCGTCGTCCTTTCTGCTGCTGCTGCGGCTACCGATTGGTTCGCAAGGAGTTTTTCGAGTCGTGGGAGCGCCGCAAATATCTGCTTATGCTCAGCACGTAACTCCGCGATTTTTCGTATAAAGAAATCTCTATTTCCCTCCCTTTTGGCAATTTACGGAAAGAGGCGCGACTACTGCAGAATCATGGGTGCTGGTCGACCTACTGCGAGTCGAATCGACTGTGGAATCGATGAGTGCGGATTCTGGACGTCGCTCAAATCTCCCTTAGTCGAAATTCGCGTCCGATCTCGGCCGTTGAGGAGAAACTAGATCTGACGGTCGGAATTCCAACTTTATTGCCAATAATCCTGAGGGGTGTTCAAAATTGAATCGAGGGGGACTTAGAAAAATTGCGCGGAACTGGTTTTACATACCCGTATCGGCGCTTTCGTCGTCGCCCCCGAGGTTTTCAAAGGCCGGTTTTAAGCGGAAGAAGACCTCGAGTCTAAACATGCTCTGATTACCAAGTGTGAGGATCTGGTTCAAGAAATGCTATTGAGTAATGCACCTGGGTACAAGGCAAGGCTATATAT